GTTTAGGATTAGGGTTCAGGGTTTAGGGTTTAGGGCTTAAGGTTTAGGGTTTACTTGGTTTAGGGTTTAGGCTTGGGGTTTTCGGGTTTGGGGGTTTAGGGTTTTAGGGGTTTAGGGTTTAGGGGTTTAGGGTTTAGGGTTTTAGGGTTTAGGACAACGAAGATCAGAGCATCCAAGCGCATAATCGTGAAGAGGTAGTGATATGGAGTCTGCTACCAACAAAGATAGAGCCAACGTACGCTCTTCTTAGCTGAATCAGGGTACTTATAATCACAGGACAGTCCAAGTCAGCCAACAATAACCCGAAATGGCCCATGCGCCTATGTATGCCAATCTTATGTACAATCGCAGTAAAGGACCTATATAAGAATCCCGTTAAGGGCCATAGCATGCACTATGTCGTACTATAACTTGGCTGACTTCTGAACCCCTCCTAAAAGCTAAACTTTCAGTCTACTTGTTAAAGTTCATATCAAATATAGAAATCCCAAAAAGCGAACGTCCTAAGAGCCCACCAGAAGAACGCCAAAAATAAGTACAGCCCTACACCCAAACGCTAAACAGGTTGCGTGGACCCTTACAGACGACACCCGAGCCGATGATCCTCCAGTCCCCTCCCCGAAACCCTAAACCCTAAACCCTAAACCCTAAACCCCAAACCCCAAACCCCAAACCCTAAACCCTAAACCCTAAACCCTGAACTGGACCTGGCAAGGGGCCGTTCTGCGGAAAGGATCCGTAAAATCGACCTGTCAAGGCTGGACCCTCCACCTAAACATCTCCAGCTTCGGGGTTTTTAGGGTTCAGGGTTTAGGGGTTTAGGGGTTTAGGGTTTAGGGTTTAGGGCTTCGGGTTTGAGAGTCTAGGGTTTAGAGTTTGTTTTGGGTTTAGGGTTTTAGGGAGTATAAACCCCACGACGTAGGAAATATGCTGCTGAAGAGACCACAGGAGCCCGAATAGTTAGAACTTGTAACAAGGAGCCCGAAGGAACGATGCTGGCAATGATTCAGGCTTCTATATTATGAAAGGGGCGTCGGCTTTCCTCGTTGTTGAGGCGGGGCGGGGTTGGAGGCTAAACCCTAAACCCCCAAACTTGAACTCTAAATCCTGAACCCTGAGCCTTAAACCCTAAACCCTAATGTAATGGCCTAAATAAAACCCTTAAGCCCTATTCTAATTACTGAGGCCCCTATATTATACCTCCAAACCTGAACCCGAAAGGATGCAAGAATTGTGAGAAGCATCTGTTTGGGGTGAAACCCTAACCCTAATCCCCCATAAACCCTAAACCCTAAGCCCCTATAAACCTTAAGCCAGAAACCCTAAACCCCTATACACCCTGAACCCTGAACCGCTTGTGTGTCTGGATGCTGGATCGAGATAGTGGGTCTCGGATAAACACGTGGTGATGTGGCCACTGAGCAGCGTACTGGAACATCACGTTGCATGTCACGGGACGTGGGTTGCAACAGCGACGGCGCGCGACCACACCTGAAACATCATGTCACGGGACGTGGGTTGCAACAGCGACGGCGCGCGACCACACTTGAAAGATTATGTCACGGCGGGACGTGGGTTGCATGGCTTGCCGCATTGGGAAGGCCCTGCCCGAAGCTGATGAAGCTCTCCCTCCATGCGGCTCATGTCTCCTCTCATCCTTGTGTTTTCTGTCTGGAGGCGGGAGATCATTTGGCCGCGCAAAGTCGAAGTGGTGCTCCTTTTATAGCGGAATCCGAGATGAAGGTAACCTTTCCGTTGGCAAATGTCACCACAATTCCCACCTTCCCAGTTGATAGGTTCCGGTGTTCATAGACCTCGGCAACCTCCATTGGCCGGCTCATTTCTCTCACTTGATCTGGCTCCAAGCGCGGCCCCAAAACTGACCCAATCGCGATCACCTCCCCTGCAATTACCACATACTCCGGGCGGGCTCCTCTTTGGGATTGGGCTCAAGGTTCAGGGTTGGTTTGGGGTTCAGGGTGGGTTTAAGGATTTAGGGTTTAAGGTTTAAGG